CGACCAGATTCTTGCTCATTAAACACGTGATCAATTGATAGAGTCACTAAAGAAAGAAGGCTTTCGCTTTCGAAAATGGGCGAGCAATGCCACCGCTTTGTTGTTCGATCACGATCCTGCTAATCATTGTTTAGCCACTCATAAGGTTTTTCACGACGAGCACTTTAAAGTCTTAGGAATATTTTGGAATCCTAAGCTAGATATCTTTTAATTCCGCGTGATTGTACCGTTATCACCCGAACAAACTAAACGAGCCATTCGGTCGACTATCGCCAAGTTTTTCGATCCTTTAAGATAGGCTATTCTCGTCAATATTACCGCCAAAATTTTTTGACTGTGGTCCCTCCAATGTCGGTGAGATGACGAAATCCCTAGCCAACTTTTTGATTGCTGGTCCGATTATCATCAACGTCTTCCGTGTCTCAATGCAATTAGCATTCCGCGCTGGACTATTTACGGATCTCATAATCTACATTATGTCTTTCATGGGTTTTCCGATGCATCGACTGCAGCGTTAATATAAACGGCTCAATCACCGTCTATCTTCTCGCCAAATCAAAAATGGCCCCTCTTAAAACGATCAGCGTTCCGCGAGTGGAGTTATCTGCTGCGTTGTTTCTCTCTCTTGCTTGATGCATTTCGCGCGCTCAGCCCTCCAACTCCCGAATCTCGAGTATCATTGCTGGACGAACTCTATCATTACACTCGCCTGGCTGAGTCTGTCACCTTCGATGGAAAATCTTTATCGCCAATCGTGTTTCGGCTGTGTACTCCTTTCTGGAGTTTCTTGGCGTCATGTTCCGACTCACACCAATCCCGCGGACTGTGCATCACATGGTTTCGCCCCTGATTTTTTCGAGACACATACTTTATCATGATCAGGTCCTTCATGGTTGCATTATCCTCTCAAGTCTCATGCTTTTCAATACCCTCCGATATTCCTCTCGAACAATGCCCAGAACCTCCGGTATGCATTGCACGCTACATTAAATTGAGATCTTGCGTCGCGTTATTGTTCGTGGCCAAAATTGCTACGAATTACCGCTTACCTGTATCGTTTTCTAAATCGACTCTGACACTCTAAAAACCCACAAACTAATATCGCGACTTTGCTCCCTGAAGAAATTCAGAACGCCAAACGCTTCTGATTCAAAACAATGCAGTCAGACATGTTTCTTAATGAGATCGTGTCTGCAAAACATCAGCATCACCGAAGAATAGTCCGCTTCCTGTGCTCAATCCTTATGGACGAAGATTTATTCGTATTCGAGGAAGACTTCATCGAGCTTGCTTCCCAGAAACGACGAGGAATTCTATCGTCTTACGCACACATCCACTGTACTCATTATCCAGTACCATCTTAGAACGTTGCATATTTCCAATTAACGCTCGCATTATATCGAATTCTAGATTCTCCGGGCCCGCGCCATTCGATCCGTTTTTTATAAGTGTATACATGCATGCGTGAATGCACTGACGTACTCATGGGCGACCTCCCGGGTGCAAGAGTCAATCGCACCGCTCGCGCATTTGTCCATGCCGGTGTTGACTACGCAGGTCCCATCGTTGTCCAAACGACTCTCGGTCGAGGATATAAATGGCAAAAGACCTATATCGCGTTATTCGTATACCTCACGATCATCTATATTTAGAGCTTGTCAGCGATTATATCTTTTCTACCTTTATCGCAGCATATCAACGATTTGTTTCTCGGACTATCGACATTCATGTATTCCGATAACGGAACTACGTTTCACCAATCGCGAATTGTCCGATGCACATGCGAAATTCGCGATTCTAACTTCCGCAATCAGCTCGCTACTGACGGAACTGTGTGGCACTTCCTACCCCCCTTGCATTGCCGTACTTTGGTAGCCTGTGGGAAGCCGGCGGTAAAAGTGTAAAGCATTTAAAAAATATCAGCCTCCACATGCTAACTTGTGAAGAAATGTCTACACTTCTCTGTTGGATCGAGGCGTGCCTGAACTCGCTCCCGTTTCCGATAATCTCCATGATTATCATGCTCTGATGTCCAATCATTTTTTGATCGGAACCTTTCTTATCGCTTCCGCTGACGTATTTGACTTAAATGAAAATAGACTTTTGCGCTAGCAAATGATTCAATATATTATCGAAGGTTTTTGGAGATCTTGGTCTGATGATTACTTACATACTCTTCAACAACGCCCAAAATGGCGCGTTATCCGCGACTGGCAAAGTCGATCAAATCATCCTCGTGCGTGACCCTCTGGCTCCACGAAGCCAATGGGAACTTGATCGGATCACGGCGTGTAATCCCAGCGATGATAACTTAACTTGCGTCGTAACTGTAAAAACAGATCGTTTCGAGTACAAGCGATCAACTGTGAAACTTGTTTTCTATCCGTCACGATCACAATATCGAAGAGTCCAAAGATTTCGTCTCAGCGGGCGTTTTCGTTAAACGTGTCTGACATTACCGGTGAACCTTAAGCTCCGATTGTATTGCCATATTCTTTGTATCAAATCATTTTCGTTGTTATACCATTATTGTATCTTGCATGCTTTGATGCAAATTATTTTGAATGCCTACATTCAAGACTGATATGTTCCGGAATCATCGTTATTTCAAATGTATTCTCAGGAATGGTAAGTAAACAATTCATAGACACCGAGCTATTCCCATTCAATCACGCCTGCGGCTGACATTTTCTTCAAAACATATATCTCGTTCCTGTTCTAATCATATTATATATTTTAGATGGCACGCAATCCTCCTTGCGCGACACTTAAAAAGTTGAGATCGCACATGTTCCACGTGCGAAAGTTCAGTTCACTTCCCGATCTCGATCAATACGGATCATTCGATATTCGTGCTTAACGCATCTTATCCCGAATATTTAGTGAACTACACTGAAGTTTTATCGCGTATCAATACTGTATTTTGTCACGTAATGTTACCGATACGCATACCACGAGAGTATTCAGTGCGCGAGAATTACCTGAGTTTCCGGCGAGATTTGTTGGTCTCTGGTTGCTGCTTGCAATACGAATTCTTTCTAATAGTTACGAAAAATTATTCAACGTCGTATCAAGTGCGAGTTACATGTACATACATCTAACAGAACGCATCAATTATCGGATTACGAACATCGCTTATCGCCCGTTTCGAACAAATCTTGAATCGATTCAACAATAAAGTTTAAATTATTACAACAAAGAGAATCGTTATTACACGCCTTGGCGAGCGAGCCTTCTATACAAGATGACACCAGCGTCTTACACAAACATATATCATTACAAAGATATTAGCAATATTCTGAACAGCCCCGTGACCGTTTCTGAATTGTTTAAGCGCTTAAACGCTTCAAATAATTCACTTCTTTCTCTACTTCGAATTGCTTAAGCGATAAAACGCTTCGAATAATTCTCCATCACTCCTCTCTCCTCCCTTGAAATTTTCATCACCTTTCGTTTTCCTTTAACTACTAATTATGATTTTAACAAGACAAATTTTTAAATAGATGTTCTGACGTAATAGTTACCGAGCGGGACGCAAAAAGCGGGCTAAGATCGAGAGATTGCGGGAAGCCCAGATCCCAATTGTTGGACGCATTCAGACCGAGGTATTTCATTAGACCTCGAAGCCCAACGACAACACCGGAGGTTTAAGACAAAAATTGAGAGATCATACAGTACTTCTGCCAATGTCCCAGTCGGATCTCACACTAGCGGACGATACGCCGGCTGATAATAATTCTTATTTTTCATCCTTAGAACTTGAATTTTCCTCCCCCTTTTATTCTCTTGGAAGATTCCCAAAATCCTGAATTTCCCTCTCCTTCTTACTCATCCATCCTTCCTGAAGATAATAGGACTATTGACGAACTTTTTTTATTCATAGAAAAGGCAATCCAATCCACATACCCCACTTCCTCATTCAACACAAACTCATGTCCATACGGTAATTGTTACTAAATAAATAGTACATAAATAATTAAATGTAAATATTTATACTGATCGATCACATAAGGATTTATTTTATACATAAATATATATATATATATATATATATAAAATAAAATAAATAGACTAATATTTATTCAGCACTCTTCTGATTCGTTCCATCTTCCCAAGGATTATACGGGTCCGATCCCTGGTCAAAACAATTAATTTCCTTGACCAAAATAATGGATCAACGGTTGCTCTCTCTCGGTCGGCGTAATAGTGCTTCATATTTGCGTTTACCAACGTTTTTCGAATCACCGTTACCGAAGGCTTGCTCGAGTGCTTCCGACATATGGCACGCATCCACAGAGCGATAAGTTACAAGAGAACAGTGTGAGTTACATTCTTCCTTGCCTCCTTCTAGTTCCCGTTTTCCATGAAATAAAGAATCTTGGAGTCTGGATGTAATATTGTTGTAGTCGTTGATTAATCGAATATTCACCTCAAATTCGAATGTTGATCAATTTTTATAACTTATATAATCACTTACAATTACGTTTACGCTTTTGTAGAATGAGCTTTATACTATTTAAAAGTTCAGAACATTAAAAATATGTTTAAAGAAAAAAAGTACAAAATTATATTTAAAAAACATTTTCTTTTTATAACCCTAATATAGCCTATGTCTGTTGGCATCGCTAATTCTTTGAGAATAATTTATCCATTATTTTAATTACTACACTGGATGGAGATATCTGATAAGCTCTCTCTAATTATTTATTATTATCTACTTAAGGTACTCTTATGGCAAAAAAAAACCAAAAATAACAAAAGGAAACGAAAATAATATCTTAAAGCGAAACATCAAGGTAAAAATCAATAATAAAAATGAAATTTAAAGATGCTAGATCCGAATCGTTCTATAACATATGGCATATTTATTACATGCAACGATTTGTCGAGTGCGCAGAAATAATACATAGAGTTGAGTTGTTTCGATTCATTAGATAATTCAAATATTCTTATAGCTCGTTAAGTTTAAAACATTCTGAAAGAAAAATCGGGTCTACACATAATTATGTTAAGTCTTTTATTTTGTACTTCAACAATTCAATTGAATTAATATAAAGTTTGTGCGCTTTCTAGTTTGTAATTTTCGTTTCGCGATAATAGTGGATTGTTCTTGAAATGGGAGAAAATTATCCGAGACTTCTTTTAACCGCACTTTTTATACATTTTTTGAATCACCATCAAGTTGGGAAATAATACATTTGTTTCACGCAGTGAAAGTTTGTTAGTCGTAGATTTATAACATTAAGCAAGCCTGTTCAATTTGAGCTTCAGAGCCAAAACGCAAAACCATTGTCACAAAAAATTCAATGTAGATAAGATTTTAGGGACTGTATAGTGTTGACATGCATCCGAGACATTTATCAACACTTTACAGTCCCTGAATCTTATTTATATTAAATTTTTTTTCGTTGATGGCTTTGCGTTTTGGCTCCGGAGACGAGCTGACATTAAGTATTCATAGATATTGTTCGGATTGTTCTTTTTATTTTTTTCTTATCTTTTTTTTTAACTATAGATTATTATAAAGAAAATATTTCGACTGGTGGAAAGTACAGGCAAGAAATATTATTACAATGATGTAAAGCAATTTCATCGCGGAGATGGTCGTTGCGGAATTGCATAAATCGCTGCTGCAGATGTGGCAAGATTCGATTACATCACGTCCTGGTTGTATCATGGAATTGCCGCATTGGCCATCGATGATGTCAATTTCGTCATGATATGGAGTAGAACATTGGCGTATGACAATCCGTTCGCCGTATTCTGGAAAGAAATAGATTAATTGTTTAACAAAAAAATCAGAATTTTCACGCTTCGTATGTTGAGATAGAACTTTATTTCTAATTTCATATGCAATATAGGCTACATAAGCAAGTATCTCTGACATGAAACACTAGCGTCATTTCTCGTCTATTTTTTATTTCGTGGGAATATAAAAATAAATGCGTGTACGCGTAACTGCAAATACTGTTTTAGATTAGCCAAGAGGCCACTGTAATAATTTTGTTACTCATTTCGACAAGTGTAAGAATAAATGGCTAATCTTTTATTTCATGTAAAACATTAAAAAGTGAAATATATATAAAGACAGTCACGGTTCCTTGAAGAGGAGATGGGCTTTCCAAAATACTGTAGATTTTGAATATTTTCACTGAAAGCGTTAAGGTTGATTGTTATTGCAATCGATAGTTAATACCCTTATTCCAAGACGGATGGAAACTTCTATACCTCTCAGAAAGGTGCAAGGGATCACTGTACTGGATCAAAGTGGTAAAGATCTATTGAAAAAAAAGCGATAAGATTGAATTTTTGTCTACTACTTAATTTTGGTATCAATTGTCAAGAAATATTCCCATATCTTTTGTATGGTTACAAAGGCAGCCGTACCTACTCGAACATATATAATTTTCTTATTATGTAAAATTGTAGGTGTTCGAGTAGGTACGGCTGCCTTAGTAACCTAGTCTACAAGATATCGAAAAATATTTTTCGACAAGTGATAAGTAGGGATATAGTAGCGATTCTGAACTATCTGTAAGCGAGGAGGATCTGTAAGCGCGATGAGTACTCGTAGGCACGAGGGATGCCATCACGGAGAGGGAATCATAAATACAGCGACAAGTAGGTGGTGCTCGCGTCGCGGGGATGACATCACGGGCACGGGTATAAGCGCGGGGATAGGTGAGGGAGCCACACGGAAAAGGTCCCCGGTCGATGATTTTGATATTCATAAACATTGATATGTGTTTACAACAACATTTTTGATCAACATTATTGATACATAAACATCAACATTATTGATACATAAACATCAATATTATTGATACATGCCGCCATGTTGTGACATCACGTATCATTGGGACCGCCACCGTTGCCACCGCCGCCGCCGCACAATATCTGTTTACATAAACATCAATATTATTGATAAACATCAATATTACGTGTCGCCATGCGTCACGTATATCATTGGGGCCCTGCCACCGCCGCCGCCATCGCCACCTCACGCGGGATCAGTCGATAACATCAGTGTTTAGATAAACATTGATATCAGTATTTATATAACATTAATATTAATGTATAATAATAATGTATAATAATATTGTGTCATCATGTCACGTGTTTGGTATCTAGTCGCCGCTGCGAATCGTCGTCGCCTGATGCGGGATCAGTAGTCATTGCCGCTGTCACAGCCACCGTAGCCGAGTTTTCTAGGGAAGAACCACAAGATCGATGACATGTCTCAATACGTTAAGAGAAGCATCGACAATGATATTTTTTCTAGGCGAAGAATAATCATCGATATTATGATCTAATAGGGGCTAGAGAAAGGGACAAAGAAATCATAAATGAAATGTATACGGGTTATAAATAACACGCATCTCAGTTAGTGCCTAGGCAAAGGAAAAATCTTGGAAGTTTACCGAATCGGAATAAGAGTAACGTGAAAAAGTATAGCTGACCATCGCGTGAACGTCGAGGACATGAACGATCTAAATACAGACAAGTTGTTTGAAACAAAATAAGTAGAATTTGAAGACATAAATAAAAGACCAAGAATCGTCCAACGAAGAAATACAATCCGACAATATTGGAGGTGCTAATAATTTGAGCGAATACAATACGGATCACGCATAGAAATTTGTGCAGTTTTCGGAAATTCGTGCGTTGAACATTCGTACTAAACACTGCATAATCTGCTGTTATTATACAACAGATAGAGCGGATGGTGCTTTAGCCATATATTAGCATTGAAGGAATGTATCTCGTCAGAAAGTACGAAGACTTTTTCAATATACTAGACAGCAAGTAGTCGTGCTTCGAGTGACTCGAGTTTGGAAACCACTGCAATAAGGAACGAGTGCCATTCATCTATGCCGATCTAGAGTGCGTAGGGGACCAAGGCATCATGAGTCACAAAAATTCCAACTCTTAAAAGTGCTAAATATATTAGGTGTACAACTTTGCTTCCGCCGTTTTTTTCCAAAATTCGAGGCTTTATTGTAAAAAACTGGTTATACATTTATGATTCAAAATATTGTCCATCACTGGCCACTACTTTCTCCCATCTTTCGGGTAGCGTACGAATCCCGCGTCGAAAAAACTGGTCATCTTTTGAGGCTATCCACGAATCGATCCAATTTTTTACTTCTTCATAAGACCGGAAGTGCTGATCAGCCAGGCCGTGTGCCATTGATCGAAACAAGTGATAGTCAGAGGGAGCAACATCTGGAGAATACGGCGGGTGGGGTAGGACTTCCCATTTCAACGTTTCCAAGTATGTCTTGACCACTTTCGCAACATGGGGTCGAGCATTGTCATGCTGCAAAATCACTTTATCGTGTCTCTCGTTGTATTGCGGCCGATTATCTTTCAATGCTCGGCTCAAACGCATCAATTCGATACCGATCGCCTGTGATTGTTTCAGTCGGTTTTAACAGTTCATAATACACTACGCCGAGCTGGTCTCACCAAATACAGAGCATGACCTTGGATGTCAAAATCACCGTTCTTGAAGCGTTGAAATCACTCACGTTCTTTCACTAATAGCGGCCTCACCATAAGTATTTGAGAGCATTCGATGAGCCTCAGCCGCAGATTTCTTCATATTGAAGCAAAAAATTAAAACCTCCCGCAAATGACGAAAATTTGGCTCGTAAACTGACATTTTCAATCGAGAATAACTTTATGATGCAGACACAAATCGACTAATATTTCTATGGGATTATGTTGAAAGATGCCCAAGTTTATTATATGACGTCTATGATCTATTTATTTCGACCACCACTTACCGCTAAAGCCATCTGTAGGAAAACGGCGGAAGCAAAGTTGTACACCTAATACATCGAGACTTTGGATGCAGTTTACGAAGACATGGAATATTTAACTAAACTACATTAACATGTTAAGAACTGCGCATTACAAAATATATTGAAAATATATAACTACTGGTGGTTGCAGAAGA